TGTGTGTGTGTGTGTGTGTGTGTGTGTGTGTGTGTGTGTGTGTGTGTGTGTGTGTTTCTTTGGTTATTTAATCTTTATAATACGAAAAATCGTGTTTAAATGCGTCAGGCAACTATCGTTTTCGTGGTTATTTAGAGTTGTATAATAGAACGTACTGCTACTATAGTAAGTGTATGACATATGTTACTCCGCCGCTTACCTCATTTCTAATACACTTCCTCTGCGCAACAGGTTTATGCATAAAGGATTTTCACCGGGTGTTATACGAGTTTCGCACCCCTGTAATTCATTGCTAGATAATAGATACTTCGGAGTAATAGTACGTCTGTTGTTGAAACAAGGAAGTGGAAGGGAATATATTAACCCACGTAGTCCAGGGAAACTGTACTGCGCGGTGGTATAGATAAAAACCGTGAAGGAAATCCGGGAATTTAAATGCCGACACTAATAACCATATATATGTGGTTATTCTTATAACAGTGTATCCTAACTTAAAACTAACAGTTACAATGCGCATATCCTTTCCGTACTAATACACATGATCAGTATATTAGCTAGGGACCTACTTCATAACAGAGTAATAAGTATTATAATTGTAAGTTGCATATCAGTTGTAACTCATTCATTTCATCGTAGTTTGTTTGTACATGATAATGTGTTTTTTATGCTGCAGCATTAGTAAAAAATTACGTCACACACTTCCCGGCCAGATATCGCTAGTTTGCCTGTCGTAAACATAAACGTGATGTTAATTGATGAATCATACAATTTTCTTGTCATTCCAGTCAATCACGATATCAATACTTTGCTCCGGGTCATAACGGAGAAACATAACAATATAAAATTAAGTTAGCTATTAGGAGCGGCATGGCAGCTTCGCTGCGTGGATGTATTTGTGAACTATTATTGAAAGCTTTCATATGCCTAAACTTATAATGAATTCTCCGCTAAATGGTTTTAAAATTAAACGTGATAATATATGCTCGTCATATAAGCTATTATTCATGAAAATAAGACCAAGTTTGTTCAAAATAATAGTCTTTTTCAGCAAGTGATGCGTTAATTTTTAAATGAAATTTTTGGTTAGTTATCATTTTACCTTCGTAGCTAAATTCTATTACACACTTTTTCTATAAGTGAAACATAAATCAGACGGTTGGATTACCCTCTAACTAAATGTTAAACCTACTTCATATTCTCCCAAACGTATTTGGAGTAATTTCAATCCAAAATCTAAGAACAAACACAACATTTTCTTTCCTGCGTGCCTTCAGCGAGTAGACGTGGTTTGGAATCCCCGAGTTTTCCCTCACGTCCGTGCTTCGGCAATATATAGCCTGTACGCATTTCGCATCGTATTGTCATTGTAGTTAGTTTTGAGAAAGTATACTACATTTAAATAACTATGGCTGCAAGTCAAGGATCCCCTAAAAGGGCATCGCCTGTAAAAGGTTCGCCGAAAAAGGTAGTGAAGAAGAGAAGACGATCGGGGTCCAAGGCAAAGAAAGCTACGCACCCAACGACTCTTGATATGGTTGTAGCTGCAATTCGTCAACTAAAGAACCCAAGAGGATCTTCAGCTCAAGCTATCCGCAGGTATATCTTGGCTACCTATAAGGTGGACGCCAACCGCGTAGGTGGCATGCTACGTCGCGCTTTCAAGGCTGGACTTGAAAAAGGAGCTATCGCCCGCCCGAAGGGTTCAACTGCAATTGGAGCAATTGGCCGATTCCGAGCCGCTAAGCCTGTACCCAAGCCAAAGGCCAAGAAGGCAGCACCAAAGAAGGCAAAGAAGCCTAGGGCAAAGAAAGCCGCAACACAAAAGAAGGCAAAAAAGCCCAGAGCAAAGAAAGCTGCCAAGTCTCCAAAGAAGGTAAAGAAAACTACCAAGAAAGCGAGTCCCAAGAAAGCAAAGAAACCTGTGAAGAAGGCCACTAAGCCAAAAGCAAAGAAGCCAGTGACAAAAAAGTCCAAGTCTGCTGCAGCCAAGAAGCCCAAGGCAAAGAAGACTGCGAAGAAGTAGTCTGTGGAGGCCTATTTCAATAACCAACCGGCCCTTATCAGGGCCACCAATTCCTCCCAGGAATAATTTCTGAATTTGCACTTATTAGATACTAGGAAAGGTTAAAGTAGGTGTGTAATATCACACGATTTCTATTATTAAACGCTGTGGCTACGGGTACGACAGCCGTATCTTAATGTCTTGAAGCTGGAGGTACGGCAGTCCATTAGCTTTCATACTTAACGAGACAAAGATGGCGGCGTGTGGCGCCAGATTTCTAAATAACGCCTTGGGAAGTAAATTCACGATTTGAGAGTTTAGATGAGCTAGAACCCTAACCCCTAACCCGTACCTCCAGCCACTGCGTTTATTAAATGTTATATTATGTTGCAAGTATTTTGTCCGCCATTGTATAATTATTATTAGTGACTACAATTTTCTATGTCATTAATTAGTCAATAACTGAATAAGTTCATAATAGGCCAGAGTCAGTATTCGTTGAGGGAAGGGTAAATTGTATCAATCAAACGTTGCAGTTACGATCAAATGTAATTAATTGTGCTTAATGTAAAGCTCAAAATTTGTTTTCAATCGTTATCTAATCTAATCTAAATCTGAAACGTTTCAATTTTACTTTCACTCTTGCTTCAAATTTTTGCTGCGGATCACTACACTTTCTAACTAGCCGTTTCCATTTTATCGTGCCCGTACGTGCAAGGTTCCAAAAGGATCTCAGCTCACATGCGGAGATTGTATGACATAATTATCTTTTGTACCGTAACTATACCCAGTACGTACCGTTCTGCCATAGCGGCTACACTGCGCGCACCGCCGATATCGGTCAGTCGGTTATTGGAGCAATGACGTCAGTTTTGCCGGCGTTCTCTGCTTCTGGTCCCTGGTACGACGCTACCACGCGCTATCACCGCCTTACAACGCACATGTTGTTACCTTTGCCCGGGAGGCAGGTGAACAAAGGCTGTGAAATGCCGCACCTGATGGTACGGAAAATATAACCACTAGACATATAAGTGAAATCTAGAGCGACCAACCGGAAGTTGACAACTATTAAAGAATGCGCAACGTGCTGTCGTTTTCAGATGCTTGCAACGTTGGTTGTGTGTGCAGGTCGCGCGCGACACTCTTACTACGTTGAGCCCATGTTATTATTGTGTTAAATTGTTGTGTATCAGATGACGCTGCATGGCTCTAGCCTCTGATATGCCACATTAGTATTATTATTTACCGAAACAGTGTTTATCGTGAGCAGTAAACTTACTGTGCGTAGGAATATAAACTGGGAACAAAAATTGGAGTTGTTTCATTGTTGAGTTCAGCTAGTTGGTGGCTGCGTGTCTGTGAGAGGATTGACGGTAAGATTGGTTAAACCTATTTCTATATTAGGCTGCATTTCGTTGTATGCGTAAGACAACAGCACGTATAATATATTCTTGATTATATCATATTATATTTAGTTGGTACAAGACAAGGCGATTTAGCTGAAATCTTCCTCAAACAGACCGCTGAATAGATACTTCTACAACAAACGCTACTGATTTACCTACGTTGCATGTGCGAAATAACTTGGCATAGACTTTCATCACGACATTGCAATTGTTACACAAATACATAAATAACTAACCAGCGAAAAATTATAATGAACGATTTCATAAATCTATGCGTGACAGTTCAATTTGGTAGACGATATGAAGTATGGTGAAACCCCGTGACACCGACGTTAACCGATTGATAAAGTCTTTTATCATTTGTAAATGTACTGTCCATTTTACGTTTCAACTAGTTTTATGCGATATTTTATTTGAATATAAACGAACGCAATCGCTAACTTGTGGTGGGTAATAATGTTATGTGCTAATAAATGCGTATATATATGTATTTGTTTAATTTCAGATATATACAACAATACAATCAGCGAGAAAAAACACAATGAGGGTGGTCATAGCATATGCATTGTTACTGGTTGGCTGCTGTTGCTCGAGTAAGTAAACGGCAATCTTTGATGATTACCAGAGTCAGGAAGTGAATACCATAAAGTACTGTGAACATTTTCTGTTTAGGTTTAGCTCAACTCTTGACCTCGATGCCTGTAGCGTGTAATTGCAACATGCACACCTCAGTTTGGTAGTACACAACAGCAGTGCTAATTTTACTATGTGTACGTTAGTTACACAACTATAAACTGTTTGGTTTTTCCCTCATTTTTTCAAATGAAATTATATTGTTCACAACGAATGTACATTTCCTACAAGCGACAGATGGAGATTCGCAAGAAGTGGAAAGCAGCGGGGTCATAAACCCCCTTTTTATGCTGATTTTACACACCAAAGTACATGTAGTATTATAAAATCGCACATTTGTAGTCAGAATGTTTCTAACGTTATATTTTTAAAGCTCGCAAGCGACCAGAATCCATACGGGTTGCAGTTGCACATTCCCGCAGACGTAGCGATTTTACAGCAATTTTTTTTACAGCGATTCACGAATCGCTATCAAGTTGCATGAAAAAATCGCAGGTCTGCGCTAGGCTTTTTCCTTTCGCATTCGCAAGACCCTACAGTTCTGATGTCCACAATTAACTCTCAGACGAAGAAGTAGATCACTAAAACATATAATAGAATATATAGAGATTTACTCATGCAATATAACAAAACTGTTTTTTATGCATTTATTAATTATATGTATTGTTGATGTTATCAAGGCGTGCATGCACTGCTACCATGGGAAGTAACGGGAAGAATTATGTACCAACCGAAAGCGGGTTCCTTTGCGCAAGAGTGCATCGAGAGGTATCACACAGCGATGACAGCACAGAACAACACACTCTCCAGAATCCTGGGGCAGGGGTGCGCTCAGGTATCTTCAGACATGAGAGTCACGTGGGCGGCACTCGATGTAAAGAAAATATCGGCCAACCAGGTATAATGGGATTAATTAATCAGCAAGTATCTCTTATTTATATTTGTATAAGCACATGGCACGTACGGTCATGGTCTGATCCGTGTATTATCGTCACTGTGCTGCAAAATATGAAAACAAGTTCATATCATGATTACTCGTTAACAATGGCCCTTTATCGGCTACAAGGACCATCGCTCCGTTCGAACGCAAACAAAGTTTAGGTACTCGTGTCGGATATTTGCTTGGTGTTCAGATTCTGACCAGTTCCTGCAATAAATACATAATGTATTGTTGCGACGCGAGGTAAAACGGCTCGTAGTGAGCTTGCGTGCGGGTGTCGGTGAGTGATCTGATGCGCCGCGAGTGCCCGACTTCCGTGTTGATTCATCGCGCGAATGGACATGCGTGGCACGACACAAACAATGACGGGTAGGGTGAGCAGCGCGAAACGCTAATCTGGGCGACCTACAGGAGGTTACGCAGGTGCAAAGTTAACTAATCACAAGTCGCTGCTTCGGCCGATACATTACCTGCGTGCGACGGAGACAGATACAATGAGAACACATAGCCGACAGAGCTAGGTGTGTCAAACGAACCTCCCGAAATAGTCGAGCATTGGCCTAGTGCGCACGCTGTTATTCAATTGTTACCTACGTGTACATAGACGAATGCTGTTCTGCTCAGCGGGACGCTTCACGGATGATACTCGTGATATATTTTTCATTAATCACACTTATGTGGCGATGTGATTATCACGTCACTGGGGCGTTGTATAATAATCAAAAAACGATCACTAATATATGTAGTAGCAGTGATATATTTTTGATATGGTACATATCTCTTGTGTTGTAGCTACTCTTCAAATACATTATCTATCTGAATGATGAGAGCGGCCCGGCGCCAGGTCCACTTGACCTGTTAGAGTCTTGTGCGAACAGCATCGCCAACATTCTTCCCGCCATCACCAGTAACGGTATCCCAGACCTTGGCAGGGGCTGTCCTAGTGTTGTGCCGACGGACAACCACTTTAGCTGGGGTACGGATACAGGCCCGGACAGTGAACAAGCACAAAGTGACATCTTGATCATTCAAGATGCTCCACATCCAGGTAAATGTTCGCACAGGTCACGGGCGGGCTGGGCTATCACGCGTGACGCAATTTATACCGCGTAAGACTGATTCCTGCTGTCCGTGTGCATAGACCCAAAACCTGTATTGACAAGTCTTGTTCGATAAAAAAATTACAGCGGTTACTTAGTAGATTCATGTGTATAAATGCAAACACTGCGGAATAACAGCCTCGCCACTGTGTCCTTTGTTCATTCAGACCTGAAGCTGAGTGCTCCTCCCCCAATCCCCGACAAACCGGCATTGAAAGCTTTTGCCGTGACCAGCGAAGGTCCCTCATTCAAAATGATTGGTACCGTGACGTACCGGTCGGAGAAAGACGTGCCCCACGCTTGCCTGGATGTGTACAGGAACGTCATTGGATCGAACAACAGGACCATTACCACGCAGCTTACGCAGGCTTGTCATACCCATTTGGATACCGTTATCTTCGCTGACCTGGAAGCAGAAAAGCGCTCATCGAAGCAGGTGTATATTAACCTTGTTTATCGCAATAAAGAAATTATTATGACGACGGCAGCAGAATAATACCGAGTCTCATGGAACCAAATGCACTCGCAGCCCGAGGCTTATAAGCGCGCCTATAACTTATTATTTACCGCTATAAAAGCGTGATCTCAATTCCAGATTAAGTTGAGAGCGTTAATGCAGGTCATGTCATGTATATAACAATGACGAGTAAAACTCTCACGCTGGCTTTACCATTTAAAACTATTTTACGCGTTGAAATATTTGCATATCATTGAACTTCTTGTAATTTCGGGTTAATAGTACGATATTCTCCGTCACCAGGTGGAGCTTATCTACACGATTGTGCTCGACCACGAGTCCGTGGACGAATCTCAGTCCATCCAGGATTGCGCCGACGTCTTGTTAAAGGAACTACCGTCGATCACGAACATCGTCATTCCAACGATCGCAGGGCGGTGCCCACCACTCCTACCTACACGCAATTCCTTCCACACGGAGTTTACAGGTAATTAACTGTGAAACGAAATTTCGGTAATACATCAAATTATCGCAGTTATTTTTGTCGTTTTGTGTACTGATTGTTTGTCCTAATATTTGTTTTGTAGATGTGGATAGCTGTCAGTCAAATCCATGTGAACATGGAAAATGTATTGACCGTATAAACTCTTACGAGTGCATCTGCGACCCTGGATGGGAGGGCCATAGCTGTAATACTAGTAAGTACCGTTATATAGTACATGCATTATTATTATTATTATTATTATTATTATTATTATTATTACCATCATTGTTATTATTATTATTTTTGTTAATTTATTATCATTACTTCTTCGAGCTCAGAATAGTGGTATACTTCACATATTGACATTCGGATTTCACTTTACTCTCATCAAAGAAATCTTAAATAATTAATTTGTCAACATAAATATTGTTGTTTAAATGTAATTATTTTATCAAATTAATGTAGGTGCCGTATTAGCAGACGCGAAAATAGAGTTCCTGGTGAGAATTTCAGGCAACGTATATCATAGATACAACAGGTCGCATGGGTAAATGTTAACTTCTTTGTTTTTGATATACCTCAGATATTGACGACTGCACTCCTAACCCATGCGGGCACGGAACATGCCGGGATGCTGTCGGTGGCTTCATCTGCTCCTGTCAGGCTGGCTGGTCTGGACCTACATGCAATGTTCATGGTAACACACATTGCCCTATGAAGGGTCGAAATACTAATTAATGATTGCCTAAACATGATTTTTCGGCTATATGCGCACCCATGCCCGTGCATTCGCCTACCCACGCACGCACGCACACGTTAATATATATATATATATATATATATATATATATATATATATATATAACATATGTCATAAAGAAATTATATTGACTAAGGTAAAATACTTTGTTTATCTAGATGCCATCCCGCACAGTGACAACGAGATTAAGGGCACCCTTAGATACACCTCTGGGTCTAGGATCAGGCAGCGGTGTGCGAACATATACAACCGGTACATGGTGGCGCTCAACGGCACAGTAACCTCAGAACTGAACGGCTTATGCGGTTCTGGCATCGGTGTGACATGGCGCGCACTCGACGTGAAAAAGATATCGAGTACAGAGGTATGTTTTAACTCGCAAATATTAAACCTATTCTGCATACCCGATCTGCTTATGATTAGACACGTCTGTTACATATAATCAAAATGATGTCATTTCCTTTAATCTCCAAGGAAGAGAATAATGTCTAACGAAATAAATAAATCCATTCAATGGATTAATTATTAGTTCAATTGATTCATTATTGGTGGGTTATACGTTCATGTCTTCATTGAACATTTCTGCGCGGGGATATACACCTGAAGTATATACAACTGATACACAGTATCGTTATTGATATATAGATATATATCGGTCAGTGGTGTAGTTATGGGGGGGGGGCAAAGGGGGCCATGGTCCCCCTTGTTGTTCCGAAAGTAAACAAAAATACAAAAATGAGAATTGTACTACTAAAATGAGAATTGTCGTAGTCAGAATGAAGGCTGTACATGTACTCAAAAGTGCCTCAAATACCATCTCCTGCAATTTACATTTTCAAAATTTTCTGAGGGTGGACCCCCATTATCCCCCGCCTGTTTTCACCCCACCTCCTTGGAATCCTGGATCCGTCACTGAACAGTTACATATCTTGGGAGCAGAGAACACCGAACAAAAATGTCGCCTTTTTGCATGACGCCCAAAACAATGATAGCAGAGCTGAGAGGGTGTGGAGAGGGAGGTGGAAGAACCATTAACATATTAAGTTATCCACTATTTTGCGCAGTTTGCTGTTTTCCCCCCCACCCTGTTAAAAATCCTGGGTACGCCACTGATATCGGTGTTATTGCAGGTGTTGTTTTACTACACGTTTGACCTACGGTCGAGACTCACGCAGCTCGACGACTGCTTTGACACGCTTATTGACGCGCTGCCGAGGACGACACGTGTAACCATCCCCGAACTCAACACTCGCTGCCCGGCCATCTTTCCCGGAGAGGCCTACTTTGCCAGGAAGGATCTACAGCTGAGGAGTGGAGACGTCGTGCCTGTGGGAACCTGCACTGACTGTAATTTTGTTGTGTGTGATATGTAGTAGCGTATTAGGCTGCGAAAGCGCACAATTCGCGTCACACATTACTATGTTCGCGAGCGATAACGTCACGCGAACTCAGTCATGATGTTTTAATAATATTTACAAGTATATGATCAGCATTCAAAATGTTCAGAATAGCACAAAAGTTTACTTTCGTATAGCACTCGCTAGTGCTGATGCAACTCATACCATTGCGTACATATATTAGTAATGTATGTTTATTTATTTTTATGAAGGTAACTGTAAGACGGGTACATTCATGAGCTCTACTGCGTGTGTCAAATGCCCTCGTGGAACATACCAAGATGAGGCAAAGCAGACCACGTGCAAGAAATGCAGCGGTGGCACCTACACGTTCACAGAGGGCAGCACTAACGTGAATGACTGCATACGTACGTTGTCTAGATATTATTTTCAATACTCTTTTGTGAAAGCCCATGTAATTCATATTCGTGAAATTTTGTCCACTATCTGAACTTCAAATCTCGGGTTTACTGTCTTACGTAATAAAGTGACCACTTTTCGACATTACGTTCTGTGCGCTCTACTGCGCCACTTAAACAAGGGAAATCGCGTTACTTTTATCGTTGATCGATAACGGTGAATCAAAATCACGCGCTATTTTGCTTAATATGGCAAAACCGCACATGCGCATCACGCCGACCCATCGAAATAGTGCACGTAGTCTCCCATTGGCTATCGGCATTCCATTGGCTATCATGCTTCGGATGTCGAACATGTTTGAAATGGCATAGAACGTCATTGTTAGTATTCTTGTTAATTTAATTAAAGATAAAATAATGTATGCAATAAAAGAGTTTATATTTCACTGTTTGAAATGCCGTGTGATAGTGACTTGTTCGTACGTTTTATGAAAAAACGTAACGGTTTGCCAATGACCATTATGTACTTCAACAAATGTTTCGCTCTTTTAGAGCTCTGCGAACCTGGTACATATTCGGATAACGGCATGCCAATCTGCCTACCATGCCCGATTCACAATTACGCTCCGTTGCACGGATCAACTGAATGTTTGAAATGCCCTACCCGTACCTACACAGCTACAACGGGATCATCTAAGTGCGCGTGTAAGTGGTATTTATTTTGCACTTGTTTAGCATTAGTTTTTTTCCGCGTTAATCGAAACAAGGAACTGGGAACAAGTGTGTAAATATTCATACAAATAACGCGTTTTTTTATTTAGTAGTCATCAATATCAATAATAATTAATATTAACGGACCTTGTTCACCATGTTATCTCTACAGTGCCGTGCAATTCTGGATATTACTCCGAGTCCGGGCTGGAGCCCTGTAAGCCATGCCCACCTAACTTCTACCAGAACATTGCTGGTAGCGGTGTGTGCAAGGAATGCCCCCATCTAACAACGACATCGGGCAGGACTGCCTCGTTTAGCATCGCACAGTGTTTCATGGGTACGTCAATTGTTTCGAACTATCATGATCCCGACTGAAACATCGTTGGCTCTCGTCAGATTTCATTATATATAATTATATATATATATATATATATATATATATATATATATATAAGATACACGACTGTACTTCTCCAGCACTGTGAGGTTTAAATGAAACCATCGCTTTCATTTACAGATGGCAATTTCAACGACTTGTGGGCCAACCCGGATCCAACAAGCGAGGTGCCACCTCTTAAAGGAGACAACGGGTTCGGCGTGGTGATGCAGCACTACACCACTAGCTCACTCGATTTCTGCCGCCTGCGATGCCAAGAGAGGGATTTCCCGATATGCGTCGGTGTTGACTTCAAGCCCGGATATGGATGCGATCTCCTAAGCATGCGTCTGCTATATACAGATGATCACTTGTACAAATCGAACGAGCCTGTACTCCGTAACTTTGGTACGTTGACAGTGTTTTTTCACGGTGGAATTATATTGGAGCTAATATGTAGGAATTTATCATAAACAAAGTTCGTTTTATAGCAGCTTAGCTCCCGATGTACCGAGGCGCTATGTAGGTCGTGAAACATATTAAAAAAATAATAAAATAATAAAATTAGACTACAGTGATTTTACGTTCCCCAATAGCACAAAAATCTCAATATATTTTTTTTTTAAAGATTAGTATCTCTAATAACCGTTTCACTGTAGATGGAGGCTACTTCTGCTCCAAGGGTGAGGTAAATCTGCAGTGCAGTAACTCCAATGAGGTCTTGTCGCTACATCAAGTGAGATTCGTCAACATAAGCGAGTACTCGTGGGCGAATGTTTGCGAAGCGAAGAGGTACAGAGGCGATGCATGTCATGTCGGAGAAATCGTCGATGCTATACGAGCTAACTGCGTAGGCGAGCGAAGCTGTACTTTCGAGAACCCTTGCCAGGACACGACGATGTACGCGGAAATTGCCATGGATTGTGTTGGTAAGATTTTTTATGCATATTTAAATTAACCCTGTAATCGTTTTAACTCGTATAAATAATAATTAATCATGCTCACCTCGTATACACTGTACGTTATAATTTGTTATTCCTCGTCCGAATATCTGTACCGTAGTCAAATATGTTTGATGACATCACTGATCGAGATGATGCCCGTTTCTCTATTACAGCTGATCCATGCCATGATCACGTCTGTCAGAATGGAGGGTCCTGCTACCCAGGCAACCACGAAGGTTATTGCGAATGTACTGAAGGTTTTGGTGGAAACGAATGTCAATACGAAACAGACATTTGTATCAGAAATCCTTGTGGCGACAGTGGATTCTGCATTATTCTTAACGAAGACGAGTACGTCTGCGAATGCAAGCCCGGTAGGTGGCGACAGTATATGGTAATAAAACGCGCGCATCTGTCACTCTGCTACGAGGCAGTGAAACGAGAATGTGTTATGGAAAAAAGAGGAAACTAAATATTATCAGTGTGAAACTATAATGTGTGCATAAAAATACGGAAGTGAACTTTATCAGTGCTATATAAACAACACGGCGTAGTAAACGGCTAAAATTTAGATTCGGCACGTGCGCACAAACGCTAAAGCTATTTATGATACATTTCACTAGAATAATAAGCATTTTCATCATTGCGCAATATTTACGCAGGACATGATGGCGAACATTGCGAGAACCACGTCGACTATTGTGCCGAACATGATTGTGCGTTCGGCAGCTGCATCAGCAAAGACGATGGCTACATCTGCGAATGTCAGGACGGCTTCATCGGAGAATTGTAAGTGAATGCCTCGATTTACATATATCGCTGGCAGCACTTCACTAACCGCTCACGTGAATCCTGGTTGTAACTGTTAAAATATAGACGGAGTGCCATATTTTGCTCACGTATTATTATTATTATTATTATTATTATTATCATTATCATTAATATTTGCGTGTTCTTTCCAGTTGCGACCAAAACGTTGACATGTGCGCCAATAATCCCTGCAAACATGGGGGAAGTTGCGAGGGACGCCCTCTAGCACGATATGTGTGTTATTGCACGAAGGGCTGGGAAGGCGACACATGCGAGACAGCGGCTAGAGGAAACGCAGCAGGAAAAACACGCGATCGATTGCAAGACGCCGGTCGTTCTCTCAGCCCTAAAAATGTCATTTTTACGGAAGAAAAGGGAACCCGTGACGCTGAGCAAAACTCTGGTCGTAATAGCAATCGTAATGCTGACCGGGACAATAAGAATGAAGAGGAAGAAGAAGAAGAAGAAGAAGAAGAAGAGGAAGAAGAGGAAAGAGAACCAGAAGACAGTATGTACTAAAAAGATTTTGTTTGTGTAGCTATTACGTTTGTATAATATGGACAGAAGCAACATTAAATAACTGAATTAATTATGCGATATCCTAACTGTTAGAAAATATTTGCATTTCAATGCGTTTTTAAGATGATAATGGTGGTGGTAATTAATCTATCACGTCTGACTAATCTTTTCCTTTCGGTTTTTAGGAAGATGTCCTCCAGGACATTTCTCGCATACGGGTCAGAAGCCATGTAGGAGATGCCCCTTAGAAACATTCCTGCCTGTACCTGGAGGAATCCAGTGCCTAGCATGTCCACGTGGAATGTTTGCCGATAGGCCTGGGTCAGCTAAGTGCTATCGTAAGTTAACTATCCCGTTAAAAAGGGATTTCGTGCTGCAGTATACGCGCAATATTCATGATTCTCATGCCTGTTATACTGTAATAAATTGTTGCTTTTCATTTCCTCCCTTTCAGCTCCTTGCAGTGTTGGCTTCTTTTCTGACAACGGGCTTGCTCCTTGCCAGCCTTGTCCGCAGCACTACTTCCAGAATCGCCCTGGTCAGACTTTCTGTCGCGAATGTCCACCATTGACGACTGCCGCCTTGGAGGGAGCGTTCAGTGTTGCTCAGTGCTACGTCAGTAAGTAAACCTCATCAAATCTGCACTGTCCTCGCGTACTCGCCGCTAAACTCAACCCGCGAGGAAATTACTCTCGGGAACGATGTAAATATTACCATGGGTCGCTAACAGAACTATTCAGCTAAATTATTTCCCCGCTATAAACGTGCTCGTAACGCGATGGACCAAACATTATATAATGTTACATTCATCAACTAAAATTCAGATAAAAACACACTGCATCAAAAGCACAAGCTGAACTTTGAACGGTAAAATTTATGTCCGTTTATCCGCTGCAAGTCTACCGAAAGTGTATATTCACTCTGTACTCGTTGCAGACCGCAGATTTAGCCCGGTGTGGGTTAATACGGAGCAGCCAATTCCGGTGCCTCCCGCCGAATTCGATCAAGGTTTCGGCGTCGTCATTGCGCACTATAACACAACCTCGCGCGACTTCTGCGTGCTCAAGTGCCAGGAGCGCAACTTCCCCGTCTGCATCGGCGTAGACTTTCGCGAGGGTTACGGCTGCGACCTACTCAGCATGCGTTTACGCTACACGACCAATTATCCATTCGTCAGCATTGCGCAGCCCATGTTCAGAAGCTTCGGTGAGTCAGTGAGTGCCCACCCCCGTGGGAGTGCTGTTGTGCCTGTTGATTACCTTCTATTATACGCAGTTCTGACATGTCCGCCCACACACCCATCTATACTTACCGCGCCAAATTATTTGTTGTTGTAGTCGCTCCGTATTCGCCACAATACAACTCTGGTAGTTATGCCCTGCATAGTTTACAGCCCGTGCCAGTCTGTTACCATTCACTCGTAGCGAACGGTTTTTTCCTAACTACAGCCATAAAATCTAACCTAGTGACACTTCACCGCCGTCATTTTAGCCTCCAAATTATACGTCATTACGAGAGGCTATGTTATTATCATGTATCAAATATAGGTGTTCTTGGTTGAATAATGAGTTCAGTGACTCTATATACTCTATACCAGTGTATATTGTTACTGGTGGAACAGTTTATCTCGATAGCAGAATGTCTTTTTTTACATTCAATTTGACCAAAATAGTCAGCATAATTAATAGCACAACAAAGTGGATTTAGTTCAGCGGCGGAAACATCTCAAAATCACGTTAACGTGGACGAATTTCTTTCAGTGGGCGGATACTACTGCAGCGACAAAGAGATAAATCTAAAGTGTGACAAACCTAACGAAATCATGGCTCTCAACTCTCTCCGGTTGATAGACGCATATAAGTACTCTTGGGTGAATATATCCTGCTCCGACAGTTTATACAACGGGCCTGTGTGTAATGTGCAAGAAATGGCGTCACAGGTACGTAAGCGTTTAGTGTATGGTATACCATTTTCTGTAAAGCGGTGTCGTAGGAGCTCACCGAAAGCCGCCAATTATTACTTTACATGCGAGTACAAATCGACGGCTATTATATTTATTTATAATTTTTCACAAAAAAATGTACAAAAATTGCTTTGAAAATAACGCGTTACAAAATTCCATCGTTGGCTGTGTAGAAACCCGGCGCCATTTATATATAAAATGAAAAAAAAATATGGCAAAAAACCTGCGCTGTCTAAATACAAGAACATCCAGCGCTTTCTCTGTAAAACTCCGCGCTTTCTATATAAAAAAAAACGTCCCGCGCTTTCTATGTGAAAAATCCTGCGCTCTCCATGTAAAAAGATCTTGCATTTTCCGTATAAAATGTTTCCGATGTGTAAATAATCCCGCGCTTTCTACATGAAAATACACCCGGCGCTTTCCACCCAACAGGTGATGGGCGAGTGTAACGGAAAGCATGAATGCACGCTCGTGAATCCGTGCGTCGACACGTCCAAGTTCACCGAACTCGGCATGGACTGCTTGGCGAACCCCTGCTTCCAGTCGCCGTGCCAGAAGGGCGGCATATGTCACATCGGTCGGCACGGCGCCGAGTGTGAGTGTCCGCCGGGCACGCAGGGCGAGTTCTGCGAGTTCCGACGACAGTCGCGACAACAGTTCGCTCCGATCAATCCGTGTGTGCAGAACCCCTGCTTCAACGGCGGCCAGTGTGTCTACCTCGCCGGCAGCGACTACGTTTGCCAGTGCCCTGATAGTACGTAACATGCGACCAATCTCTCGCGTATTACGTGTGTATCGCACGATCGTTATGATATTGTGACGTTACACCTTCAAGTGTAAAGCACCCTGACGAAATATTATCGGCACTTACGTGAAATCTAAGCAGATTTGTAAAACTAAAGCAAAAACACGTGTTTTTAAAATTGTTCAGTGTCGCTAGGCACGTTATCGGGCACATTTTCAGCTGTGAATGCACGCACTTGCGCGTGCACTTGTGTGCACAGCCGCACAGGTGCACAGTACGTGCGCTTATACAGACGCATAGGCGCGTTTACAGGCGCACAATGTGCGCGTGCACACAAGCATACAATACGTGTCCGCGCAGCTAGACATTACGTGCTTTCAATGCATATGTTTTAGTGCTTCGCATAGCAATTCATGTGTTTTACTCTGCAATGTACGTTTTGCTTTCCCACCAGACTGGTTCGGTAGCCGATGTGAGTCGGATGGATGTGACAACCGATGCGAGCATGGACACTGCAGAGTTGAGACGCTGCGCGGCCTCGTGGGATACACATGCGAGTGCGAATCCGGCTGGAACGGAGAGTAGTAAGTAGCAATAATAATCCCCAAAGGCCCCATTAACCCACTTATCGTCGCTCGTATACTTCAGTCAAGGCTACATTATTTACTACAAGGTCATACATATTTCAGTATCTATTTGGTATCATGAATGGCTCATCTACGTAAATAATTTAATTTCGTCTACAAATACGCAATCTATCGATTTTCATTTTCTATCATCACTAGTACTGTACGTACTAAACTATCACGAGCGCAGGAGCATAACGATGACGAGTATATTCGCCTATTGCAGCTGCCACCTGAGGGCCTCCGATGATCCTTGTCTGAACCAACCCTGTCAGCATAGCGGTTTGTGCAACGCCGCGCCGCGTGGAGAATACAACTGTAGTTGTCTGTTCCCTTGGACTGGCAAAAGCTGCGAAATACATCGTTGTAAGTAACTAGTAACCAGCGTACAAATCGCATAGTGTGCATAGCGTACGTTCGAATTGTGTAAACACACTGATGATCTGTGATAGAAAATCGACTCAGTAAAACTGTACCACGTTAGCCTTAATCGTTTACATAAATAACAGTAACATTTTGTATTGTGTTTGGCAGATGCGGCAAGAGCACCAGTGTCACCATACCTACATAGTCGATATAATCTTCCGCTGGGATTCTTCTTCGGCCAGCCAACACCGGCGCAGTCCACCGATGCACAGCAGCCAATAGATTTGCGTAGTCAGGCAATAAATCTACAGCCAGATCGATTAGCTCAAGGACTGCTGAGACAAGGCAGTAAGCATCAAGCGTCAGCTTCGCGACGAGGACCTCAACAGGCAGCTTTTATTAACCAGCAAAATCAGCCACCAATAAGACAGATCCTATCGCAAGGACCACAGCAACAAGGGCTTCCTAGCCAACCACAAGATGCCAGACAAGAACTTTTAGTATCACAACAGGGGCCTCTTCAACAACGGCCACTGCAACAAGGACCACTGCAACAAGGCCCACTACAACAAGGGTCACTGCAACAAGGACCACTACAACAAGGGCCACTGCAACAAGGACCACTGCAACAAGGGCCACTGCAACAAGGGCCACTGCAACAAGGGCCACTGCAACAAGGGCCACTACAACGAGGACCTCCACAGCAAGTACCTCTGCAGCAAGGACGGCAACTGCAACAGGAATTATTTTATCAACAACAGGGAGAAGGGCGATCAAGGCAAGTCTCACAGCAAGGACCACAGCAGCAAAGCTTCCCCAGCCAACCACCATCGACTGTAGTATCACAACAGGGACGTCCGCAGCAAAGACCCGTGCAGCAGGGACAGCAACCGCAGCGGGAATTGTTTTACCAACAGCAAGCAGAAGGACAATCAGGACAGGTCACCCAGCAAGAATCACAGCAGCAAACCTTTCCCAGTCAACCACTAGAGGGTCGGGTATCACTACAAGGACCTCCGCAACAGGTACTTCAGCAGCAAGGACGGCAGTCGCAAGGTATCTCTAACCAACCACAGAGAGCTGAACAGAATGGTCGAGTATCACCACAAGAACGTCAACAGCAAGGTCGCCAGCTGTCGCGAGAACTATTTTATCAGCTGCAGGGTGAAGACCAATCAAGACAGGTCTCCCAACGTGGACCGCAGCAGCAAGGCCTCACCAGCAAACAACAGATTGTGGGGCAAGCGAGAGAAATTCCTTTCCCGGGAATACCAGCACAAAGCCAGACATCCGGATTTCCTACTTCGCTCCAGAATCCTCCTCGCCTAGCTAACCAGCCACAAGGTCTACCACAGCTTGGGGCGCAGCAACGTTTTGCTCAAAGACTCAGAGAATTGCAACAACAGTCGCCTTACCCGCAACCTGTATTTGTTCAGAAAGGAAGAAACGGCCGCCAAGACGCAGTTCGAGGACCTAGCCTCAGCTTGGCGCAGCTACCTGACGACGATTTACCTCACACGGACATAGCGCGAGTTCCGACAGTCATTCTGCAAACAGACAGCCAACAGCAAACGAAAGCTGCCGCGGGACGAACCGACGTACACGAACTACGCAGTAATGTATCACAGATAGTCAGCTATCCGTCGCCAATCCCTGCATTTGTATTTGACAATCACCCGAACAATTACGACGAGAAGGATGAGGAATATGATGAGAGCCGTGTAGAGTACAATGGGCCGCTTGGCATGTGGAGCACCTGGAGTGAGTGGTCGGACTGCTCGCCATGCGGAGGTTGTGGCAAAAAGACCCGCGCGCGGGTGTGCTCAACCAATAACTGCCTGTAAGCTATAGTATAAATACTATATATTTTTCATTATACATATGAATATTATATGTATATATATGTGTGTGTGTGTGTGTGTGTGTGTGTGTGTGTGTGTGTGTGTGTGCGTGCGTGCGTGCGTGCGTACGTGCGTGCGTGCGTGCGTGCGTGCGTGCGAGGGCGTATGTGTGTGTATATATTACTATGGCGACTTTTATTGTAAATGATAAAGTGCTTTATCGTAACCTCGCTATTCATACAATGAATTTGTGGGCAATGGTCGAGTAACTAGCTACATCGATTTATGTCATTTTTGCATACGCACAACGTAGCCCATTGTCACATTTCCATTCAAACTTGATTTTAACTTGTCTATATATATCTACTAGTAATATTTTCTTCTACTACTACTATTCTTTTTGCAGAGGTGAGGCCATGGAGGAGACTATCTGTCAGAGTGCGCCGTGCTATCAGAGTATTTATGGCGATTGTGATCTCTATAAGGGAGCTTGGTAAGTATGAAAGTCCATTACCGCCAAAACCCACCTATTTTAATCGCGCTTAAAATGTATTTTAAGCGCGATTGAATTCCAGCCAATCAGAACAGTGGTTTTTAATCGCAATTAAAATAGATTTTAAGCGCGATTAAATTCCAGTCAATCAGAACAGTGGTTTTTAATCGCGATTAATGAGATTTTAAACGCGATAAGCACGAGTGCGCGCGTTCTCTTGTGTATGTGCGCATGAGCGTGCATGCCTTCAGTGTTTATCCCGTTGATATGTGGACAATGTAGGCAAGGAAAAAAACCGTTAAATGCTGAAAATGATCTTATCGTTTAATTCTGTTTTCGATCACAGGCGATCGAGATTCTGCCGACCAAGCTGCTGCAAGAATTACTTCTATCACCCGACACTGAGGCAGTGTATGCGCAGAATGGTGTAGATGTGTCACCTTCTCATTCACACACGATGATACTGAATGACAGTCTGCAGTTATTCGGTCTACAATAGTTGTTAAAACGATGCTCGCAAATCATGTTTGCCTAGGAACCGGTGTGAAGGTATTATCTAGGCACAGATCATCGTATCTTCAGCGACTTCTGAAGCGATAATTCTGTATTACATCGCCCATGAACGTAATTAGCTAATCCATAAATTGCTTCTGCGTAGAGCATTTCGTAAGCAATGTCGTGTATATATATAACTGATCGCCATGATTGTGAACATATTGAAGCATTATTGACATTTGCGTGCCTAGTTGTTCATCGGTTTACTAGATGTAGTTACGCTATGAGCTGATTTTGTGACAACGGATTTTCTTGCCTAGTACTTGTATGTGTATATATCTCTGGAATTTGTCCTTATTGACAGATGGATTGTGAGGATAAATTAATTATTGGTTCAGCGTATTTAACAAAAAACTGAAACTTGGAACTAGCTGAGTATACAAAATAATGACTAGAAAACAAATGTCCTACGATTGTGAAAGGCGTATTTTAATATAACCAATCTGTTTCTTCGTTGTATTAAGTGTGTTACAGTTGTACAGTTAGCTGCGCTTGCGCTGGTAACGCAAGTTTTGATGTTATTTTACTGAGCCCGAACTATGAATTTTTTTTTTAAACAGTGTACATTCAATTATATATTTACGTCACCCCAACTATTTGAATGCATGCATATATTTCATAGATCACCATGTTTTATCCATATTAGATTAAGTTGAATTTTTATATTCACGCCATTAAACACGTTTTAATGGTTTGATGAATAAATTTAAGTTGTAATATTTTCGTTTTATGCTCGATGTATTAATAAAACCAGAAATTATGAAGCAATATGCATAATTAGTCTGATATTTAGTTATAACCCTGTAGCGGCGAGCAATGGCTATAAAATAAACCACAACATAACAAAGGACTGTAACCGATAAAACTAGAATATGCTTTCTTCCAGAAGAACCAGTAAGATCTTTGCAAATCCATGAAATTAAATCACATTGTGGGTGATTTAAAAGGATCATTAAAGTGATAATGTAAAAGCGGTGCTAACGCGACTGCGATTAAAATCGTGAATTCGCAGTTATCATTCGCGTTACCACATATATATAGTTAGTGTGATCAATCTCCTAGCATGTTTAGTCAATTTGAATACGCTTTGCTTGAAAAAATTGTCTTTGAGACACGAGCGTCGTTTGGTGTGGTGATCTCTCTTTCTCCATTCAATATGAGACAATTCCCGTTCCATAATTGCCGTCGCCCCCTGTGAGTAAAATTGTTGAAATTGCTTAAAACGCGATGTTGTACTATTTCAACCACGATGTACGCCTCTTTCCTCTAACCACGGCGTTGTGCGCTTTCGCAAGGGTTATTTGTATGTCACTAACGGATACGTAACAACCCCGTATGTCCCCCTCAGATATGTGTGTCACGTAAATGCGTGGGCTACACGGGTGGTTAGAATGGAGGCTACAAACTGACATAGATTTCATAGAAAGTGAACACCTTATATATATATATATATTAAAACCTGTACGTATATATATATATATATATACATAGACAGGCCTATACCGGTTTTCACTCCCACGACAGGTGCTTCTTCAACACACACACACACACACACACGCTCGAAAACACCCGAATAGATCGAAAACAAATTTAATTGCTTAACCGGAATATAAATTGAATTAGTGGCCTTCCAGCGTTGACTGAATGCGGCTTCCTTGCGTATAGGGTGTTTCCACTTACACGCGAGCGTGTATCCGAGGGCGGTAAAGTTGTTCCCAGACGTCAACCGCGATCACTCGACCGCGACATATAGTTGTTGTGCAATTTTCGCTCGCGCTAGTAGATCAGGCTGGAGCTGTGTGTTGCGGCAGCAGTGAAATACTAGGCAACAGTGTGAGTGTGTGTGTGTATGTGAGAGAGAAATAGAAGAGAGAAAGGGAGAGAGAGTGATATAGAGAGCGCGCGAACACTCTATCGACATGGACGCTTTCATAGGAAACGGGATGAAATTAATCATCCTAATTTCGATTCTCGGTGAGTGTGTTGAAACATTTGATGCATCACGCCTTAACAGGCGTAAATGATTTATTCGGAAATCATAATTTGTACGCGTGATATAATTTCCATGGCATTTATAGCACAGGTATACGTGTTTGCGTTAAGATTCAGTAGACAATGCCACGCAGCCGTCGCTAGCTTTAACAGTTCCGTTTGATACATTACATATATAGTCAGTATAGACTATAATAATAATATAATATAATACACTCTAATAATAAGATATTAACGCGACAAGTAACTGTTATTCGGGTTTCTCTTCTGTAGTGCACGCATCCTATTACTACCTAATACTGGCACTCTTCTGTTCATGGTTGGCACACTGCCATACTGTGCCATTGCTGTGCCATGCCTGTGCCATATCATACCTGTGCCATTCATGTTTGATGAGATGCTATTCCACCGAAATTTTATCACGCTAATGAAATGTTTCGTTCACCTTTGCCGCATATATATATATATATATATATATATATATATATAGTCGTCGCTCCGTCGATCGCCATCAACCTTCTCGATGCGGATATTGATGAAATCCAATGTGACGTCACCGTGGCTCGCTACAAGGAACACAGGCACTGTAATAAGTACTACGAATGCGTGCATAATATCTACCTAGAGCGATACTGTCCTTTCGCCACCGTTTGGAATCTGTACTGCCCGATGGCAGGCCGATGCGACATCGCCACAGAGGAGCAGCTTATTAGCTGTACGATCAAGGATTATTCGCCTTCCGTGGCACCAGAGCGGTACTACAACTGGACCTCTACCGCCCCTCGCATACCTGGTGAGCGAGCAGTGTCTCTTCTCCGTAGTCCATAGCCTTCGCCCATGTATCGTTATATATATATATATATACATATATATATATATATATATATGGAGAGAGAGATTATTATATATATATTATGTTAAATTATATATTATTATTATGTCTACGGCAATTGCGCTCTGTTTCCCAGCCTCTTGCGTGATATTTGCAGTGTGACGAAGGTGTAAAGCCACGTTTATGTGCGTAGTGACAACATCAGTCGATGATGTTTGTTGATATAAAAACGCGTAAATCGGTCGTGCTGGTGGGGATACTGCTTGACTATCTGTTTTATTTGGGATGATTTATTTGTATGGTAATCTAAACTCCGTACGATGTAGCGTACGAAATTTGCGGGATTTTAAGGGTGCCATAATGTCTAACATTCGATCGTCCGAGTCGTCGATTCGCGATAATGTATCCTGTCGGTATTTCAATGCATACCATAGAGGAATTTAAAGGTTAACGGAGATCCTGTTTCGGCTCAGACAACAGTTCTCTCTCTCTCTCTCTCTCTCTCTCTCTCTCTCTCTCTCTCTCTCTCTCTCTCTCT